ACATCGCAGGGGACATTGCCTGGCATGTCGCAGGTGCTCCGTGAGCATTTGTTCAGTAAAGAGATGTATGAGCAGGAAGCAAAAGCAAGGAGAGTTAGAATTCTCTGTGATGAAGGGGCCAAACAACACACATAACCTTAGGAAATTGTGCTGTCTTCTCTGGGTGTCTTTATGACTAAGCTAAACGTGCTTCTATTGGAAGTTATGGTTCTGCCTTGAACACCATCCATAATTACACCACAACTAAATTCCTCAGTTCCACGATTCCGAAATTCTTTAAAGAAAATTACTGTTTTGCCTGGGTTCTTTGCCACCGATGTTTGGCACATGCTTATATTCACTGTTGTAATATGTCTCTGTTGGTTGGTCATAATTATGTCATTATCTGTTTTTTAAGAGGAAAACCTCAGACAACTGAGATCAGTTAGGTCCATGGAAGGACACTGTCTAATTCAATAATCAGATTTTCTTCCTGCTGTCTCCCCCCCTTAGCACAGAGGGGCAGACAGTGAACGTGGGGCCGGGAATTATATCTCTGAGGGCAAGTGCATTATTTAATTTCTTTAATACACTTCTGATCCTTAACATACCTTTTGATCCTGAGAAATGCCGTTGCACTGAATTTGTTTCAGTGGAGACCCTTAGCTTCTAAATTATATGACACAATTTGGAATTTAGTTTTGGAGTCTGAGCAAGCCCATTCATGCTTTCTGGTGTGCTCTTCTAGGATGTTGCCCCTGAGATGATAAATTAATCTTATTACTGTTTAACTACCCAATTAATATCTCTGTAAGTATGTCATTTTTAGTTTAGGGTATTGAGGTAAGGTTGATAGAATTGTTGGGCTCAGATGGCCAACAACATCTGTTTTTAAATTTTTTGAACACAAATGTTAAATGTTTATGATGCAGATTGTTTCTTTAAAAGACCTAAGAAGTGTGTATTTTAGGGTTAAAATATCCTTCTGAGTTTTGTGTTCAAGGATGTTGTAAAGTTAAATTTTAGTAACATTCAGACAGTGGTAGACTAATGAAAAGTACCTCATTTACACATTTCAGGCTGAAAAAAAGGTTACTTTCCCCATTGTCTGTTTTCAGATTGTTTTTTAAATGTTATTATTGAAATCCGATTTCAGTCCCCTTTCCATTCAAAGAAGAATCTCATGATCTTAATGTTAGGCGAATTCCCAGTAACATCTCTTGATGACCGTGGATGTCATCTTTACTCAGTAACAAGCGTATAGCATCCTGTAGTCTCCCTAACTGGGTGTTTTAGGAAGCCGTTTAGATTGCGCTGTGATTTTTCAGAACATGGTGTGCATGTAACGAACACTCAGCAGGTAAAGTTGTCTTGCTCTCTGGGGTATGTCAAGCGAAATAGTTCTTATTCCTTTGATTTCTTGGTCCTTAACCTCTGATAAAGGGGACTGGGCATCTGGGGGCAGCTTCTCTTCCAGCATACCCTAACCATGCAAACCTTCTCCAAACGCGTGAACCTTAAATTTCAGCAGTAAATTCTAATTGAATTTTATTTGAACAATTGCAGAGTACTTAAACTTACTTTATATCTTGTGTGTCTGGTGCTGCAATTTGATTGTTTGTTTGTTTGTTTTATTTTTCTATTGTATATTCACTTCAAGCAGTAAATCCCAGGATCAGCAAACTTACTACTGCCGCCGCTGAGACCTCTGCCAATGTCAGTTGGGAATATGAGGGACCAGAGCGTGTGAACTTTTATGTTGAATATGGTGTAGCCGGCAGTAAGAAACAATTTCATTACCCAGTTTTTAATTTGGGGGCTACATTTTAAGAGATTGAGAACACTTTAAGGATTTACAGTGGATCATCTTGAAAAATAACTTGATCCAAATACATGAATCAGATTTATCTGAAAAAAGTGTGATGAACCATCAACCTGCATATTTCATACATAGCTAGGAATCTCTTTGGTTCCTGTTATTAAATACAAGGAACATGGCAGTAAGTTCCATTGTTGATGTTCTTTTCATATTGTGGTACTTAAAAGTTGTCCTTAATGCACAACATATAAACAAGAGTCATAATGAATAATTATATTTGTTAGTACAAATAGGAAAGAAGAAGTTTGTTCAAATCGGACCTTGAAGTGTCAGAAATCAGAGTGACTTAAAAGCAGTCATTTTGCCCCACAGAATTTTATCAGAAGTTGCAGAAAATTAACACTTGAGGGGAACCACCATTATGTTTCAATGTTTTATGCATTCCCAAGTCAGGGACTCGACTTCCATCCTGGCCACATCTTGCAGGAGATGGGGTGGCTTTAATTTTCAGTGGCTTATGAGAACCCAGTGCCCCCTCCTTAATGCAGTGCTCTCTGCACGTAATAAGCTGGGTGGTCAGTTTGTGACAAAATGTTGACTATAGTTAGCTTTCTGGTTAGGCCTTTCTCATGCAATAAATATTTTTGAAAAACACTATTGCTTTAGAAAAACCAATACTTAGGAAAGATTAGATCTATAACTTGGATACATCTGAAGGCATTTAAGTTTACCAAAAGATTCATCTTGTGAATCTTAAAAAAACGATCCTTTCCATAGTGCAATTAAGCTATTTAATGTATAGCATCATTAGAGAAACTCAGTAGTTCCCTAAGGCAAGGCGCAGATCAAGGAGCTTCCTTTGTATTAGAAAGAAGATTTAATGCAGTGAGAATATGTGCAATTAATATGCAATCTGATAATCCAGTTGATTTTTCTTTGAGGACATTTTCATGTGGTTCTTTATTTTAATTGATTTATTTGGCATGACTAGATTTAGAAAAACCTAAAGTGATAAACCTCAGCCTCCTAGAGGCTTTTTGTTTTTAGCTTGTAAAAGTATTTTCCTTTCTTGAAGCTAAGGGACTTCCATTCCCTTAAGATATTCAAATGTGTTGTTTTTGCAACATTTCCATAGGCAAAGAAGAATGGAGGAAAGAAATTGTAAATGGTTCTTGGAGCTTCTTTGGGTTAAAGGGTCTAATGCCAGGAACAGCATACAAAGTTCGAGTTGGTGCTGAGGGGGCCTCTGTGAGTTCAGAGGATGTGTTTGAGACAGGCCCAGGTGAGGTGCCCACTATGTCAGTTCTTGCTCCCAGAGGGGAAGCCGCCGGTGCTCCAGCGGGAGTTGGGGGCCTGTGGGGCTGTGTGGTGGGTAGGGCTGTGAGTGTCTTTCCACGGGGCCCAGTTGGGTTGGGAGCTGGGGTTTAACTGTCTTTGGCTCTTTAGAGCAAATGAATTACAGAATTGAACAAATCATCTTCTAATCACATTATTGCCAAAACCATTACAAAAACAGGTAAATATGATTCTTGATCTACATGATTTATGTATCTCAATTTTTCACATCATTCATGTGTATACTTTCCCTTGGAGTTAGAGTGGAATTTTTTAAAAATTTTTGAGGGGGCAGATAATTAGGTTTTTATTTTACTGTTTATTTTTTTTAACGGAGGTACTGGGGACTGAACCCAGGACCTTGTGCATGCTAGGCACGCACTCTACCACTGAGCTATACCCTCCCCTCTTGAATGGAATTTTTGAAAAGATTTTGAAGCTGAACTAACTCCTTGTTTGAGTCGCAATGTTTTATGTCGAAATGGTCTGTAACCCAGCAGAACACTGCATCTGGGCTAGACAACTGATGTCAATCATAGTAATTTTGTACAGAACAAGAAATTGTTCAGTTCATGTATTTCATTGTTATCACACCATGTTTGACTGCTTGTATCTATTTTAGTTATTTGAACATTATCAAAATATACAAGTACAGTAAAGTCTCTAAAATAAAGAAAAATGGTCTTGTAAGATGCAGGAATATTCATATTTACTCACAGGATGGAAAACCATCCCCGCTTACTTAAATTTAAAGGAGGGTTGTGTGGTATGTGTTCATTCTGTGATTCCTACAACCATAGTATGTTCAGTCACTTCATGCATTCTTGAGCAAGTGTCACATTTCCTGTAGAACCCACAGGCAAAAATATATTTTTTTTGCCTTTCATGAACCAAGCATGATCACTTTTAAAGTCATTTCTTCTGATTTAGAAAATATACAATCATGAGTGTTTTTTCAAAACAAGAAGGAAACCAAAGATAATATTCAATAACTTATTAAATAAAGATGGTATTCAAATAACTTACTAAAATATTCATGTGCTACAATAATAATGTTTTTCTGTCATCCAGTTCCTTGTATTTTCATATCCACTTATGTACAGAGTGCTAGGAAAATCTTGTATTAAACTTAAAAACAGAATATCAAATCACAGCTAGTATTACAAGTATGAATTGTTGTTACTGATGGTGTTTAATTTCAAAAAACTAAAAGCCCAAGTCGGTGTTCTGCCCATAGACAGCTAGAATGCTAATGATGGTAGCAGCACTAACATTTATTCAGCTCTGGTCTCTGCTAGGTGGGCGGTTTCCATGGCTTCTCTCATTCAGTCCTTACAACAGTCCTGTGAAGTAGGCAGTTTATTACCCACTTACACCGCATGTCAGTGCTGAGTCATCAGAGTGTCACCCGCTAGAAGGCAGGAGAGCTCAGCCCTCCAACCCTGGAGGAGAAGCTCTCTACACCCACCGCTCTGGGGCAAGGAGGCCCACACCCCGAGGGGAACAGGTTGTCTCAAAAAGGACCACTCCACTCAGCACTTGGTATGTCTCTCCAGCTCCCCTGGACCCCCGGTGGCTCCAGGGTGCCCACCTTGCAGATCTAGCTAGAATGAGGCTCCACCCATAAAATCAAGTTGTGGCATAATTTTTGTCCTCTTAGAGGACGGAAGAAAAACTCTTTAGAAAAAAAATGTCTTCTTTAGTGTTGCTGTACCTACAGTTCCAGCTGCAGCTGGCCAGGAAGTTCAAGGTGAGCAGCTGTCACAGGCAGGTCATTCTTGTGTGCCAGTGATGGAGAAATAGGACAAGGCCAAAACCAGTGATTGTCACCTTTTACTGTAAATGCCACTGTTAAAAGGGATAAATACTGATTAAACCATAGTGACCTTAGTGAACATATTACCTCCAGGAGCAAATACAGTTAACCCAGCCTCCTCGTTCTCCCAGTTTCCAGGCCCTGTCCTGGACCACGTGACCTCTAGAGTGACAGCAGTATCGCATCTTGCTCGTTCAGCCAGGTGTTGAGGCGTGAATGCTGGTCCTGGGCATGCACGCCCAGCCTCCTGGCTGATTTTTTAATTCTCCGCGTTAATGAGCTGCTTCTCTTCTCTTCGTTCTGCTAGTTTCGGGAACCTAGACTCACCTTTCATCTGTGCTTCTTTCATAAATCTTCTTAACATGACACCGTCTCTGCCTTTGATCGTCTGGGTTTTGAAGGTTGATTTCTTCATTTTTTTTCCCTCCAGCACAAACTGAAAAACCAATCAGACAAGGTGGTGTCCTGTTTCTGTGCCTCTCACCCACGCTCCTGGGAGGACCCCTCCTCCTCTTTTTTTAATTGATTTTTTAAAAAATTGAAGTCTAGTCGGTTTACAATGCTGTGTTACTTTCTGGTGTACGGCATAGTGATTCATGTTCTTTTTCATTGTCAGTTATTAGAAGGTATTGAATATAGTTCCCTGTGCTCTACAGTAGGATCTTGTTGTTTATCTATTTTATATATAGTGGTTAATATCTTCAAATCTCAAACTCCAATTTATCCCTCCCCACCCCGACTTTCTCCCCTGGTAAGCATAAGTTTGTTTTCTGTGTCTGTGCGTACTGTTTCTGGTTTGTAAATAAGTTCATTTGTGTCATTTTTTTAGGTTCCACGTATAAGTGATATCATATGGTATTTTTCTTTCTATTTCTGGTTCACTTCACTTGGTATGACAGTCTCCAGCTTCATCCGTGTTGCTGCACATGGAATTATTTTTTCCTTTTTATGGTTGAGTAGTATTCCATTGTATAAAGGTACCACAACTTGTTTTTCCAGTCATCTGTCGATGGACGTTTAGGTTGCTTCCATGTCTTGGCTATTGTATATAGTGCTGCTATGAACATTGAGGTGCATACATCTTTTAGAGTTAGAGTTCCCTCCAGATATATGCCCAGGAGTGGGATTGCTGGATCATAGGATAAGTCTATTTTTAGCTTTTTAAGGAACCTCCAAACCCACCCACTGAAACTCAGATTCAAGAAGAAAAAAACCCTACAAGCTTCATTTTGTGTGTGTGTGTGTGTGAGATGCACAGTGGTGATCATGACTTGGGTTTGTATGTGCCTCTATAGTTAAGATGATTTTGAAGTGTCCTGGGAAGACTTGAACCCTCATATTTATTCTTGGGCTTTAGGTCCCTTCTTTTACGGATGAGAAGTCAATAGAAGCTATTTTCACTTACATAATTTCTGTTTTATGTCTACTTCTGGTGCACGTGTGTGTCTGTGTGTGTGAGCTTGTGTACACATGTACCTGTTACCATCCTGTGTCTGCCCAATCTTAAATGAACGATGTAGTTCGTTAATATTTGATACCTTTTTTCTTTAGACATAAGGGACGAAAATTCAAAGTCAGTTTGGATGGTCCTTTATCAACTGTCAAAGAAACATTTCTACTTTTGCTATAGTTTCATTGCAGCAGATTGCCAGTGGGCAGTTCATTTTTGACAGTCACCAATTTTGCAAAACAGTGTCTGTGCCAAGACTGGGTATCTTACTGCATTTTGCCCATATAAGTTGCATTTAATTAGATGAAAAATATACATAAATAGCAGATACTATTTATGACAAGACTAAAAATCATTCATCATATTAAAAACAGGGACTCTTTAACTTCAATCCAGTGCTCCATAGACTCACACCAGTTGATTTTTGGTTCGGTTTTGAAGAAAATGTACACAAAGACCATGTGTGAATTGACAGAAATGTATTGCCAGAGAGTATGTAATGATGGGCTTTTAAAATACTTAAATTATGGAAAGTCCCTGTAACAACATTTTATCCTTTGGAAAGACTTCTGAAGATCTGATGCCTGGACACGTTTTCGGGAATGCATGAGAGCAGTAGGGTGGAATGGCTAGCACTGTGTCTTTTGGTGTCAGCAGTCTTGGGTCAAACTCCAACTCTCGAGCAAGTTCTTTACCATCTCTGAGTTGATTCCTCATGGCTACCTCATAGGATTTTTGTGAAGACTGAATGAGATTTTGCCCTCAGCACAGCACCCAATGTAGAGTCAGTTGCAAAATGTTAACTCCATTCTCATCGTCTTCATCTTCCCCACCGTGGGGGTGACTGTGGTATGTGGGTGGAAGAGGGCACTGCCTATGCTCATGCTTCAGTTGAATCTAGTGCTGATACCACTCAAAACCCCTCTAACCAATGGGGAACCAGCGGCTATTGACGAAAGGCTCCTGTCATTTGATTTGCATTCCAGATAATGTATTTCCACTTCTCATTGTATTTCTTAAACACACATCCACACATTTTCTCACATTCCTCTTCATACTTGATTTTCAGCCTTTTCTTTTCCTCCCTATCCTCTGTGTGGAGGAAGAAGGCAGGGAGGTGCTTTTTGTTTGCAACATGTAGCAGAACCTGGGTTACGCATGGCCATGCTTATTTCTGCATCCAGCGATCACATACACCTAGCCCAACCATGTTGAATGTATTCGGAAGAAATTCATTCAAATTAAAAGAATGATATAGGCATTCTTATGAATAAAAAGAAGAAGACCTTTTACCTTGATTATGGTCAAAAGTTGAAAAAAATAATAAAAGCCTTTAAAAAAAAAAGATTTATACCAGTATATTTAAACAAATTCTCATGGGCTTGTCTGAATAGCCATTGATGCTGCACTTTGTCCCATTTGATTGACACTTTTGAATAATACCAGAAATGCTAATTATTCTGTGTTTTTCTTAGGAGAGTTGCATACTGTGACTGGTTGAATAAGGGGCTTTGCATTATTTGACTCAAACAGAATAGATAAAGAACATGTATACGTGTGAATGAGTATTTTCTCTTTGAACTGACCACTTATTCCAATAATAATTCCACTGATCAAGAAATATTTCAAAGTCGTTTGAGTGGATCCTAAGCAATATTAAAGACTGCATATTGACCCTTTGAAGATAATTCGGATTTTTCAGAAACTTCCAAAAATCCTTCAGAACCAACTCTTGTAAATGAGTTGAATACCACATTTAAGTAATATTTTGGGTGCAAATGGAGGTGTTGTATAAAATAGTAAGTTTGGTTATCTTATGTGGGCAAGTTTCCTATGTGGAGAGCTTTCTTTTTCAACCAAATATTTTCCAAAAAAATTATTTTTTGAAAAATGGCAACATCATTGCAATATTTTACCCTCTGAAAGTGGCTGCTCTGAAAGAAAAATACTCCATTACATGTATACATTCTGTTTAAAATTGTCTTATATTCTTATCATTGTGATTAATGTACAATTTTTCCCGAAAACAGTATATTTTTTAATTGATTTGGGACTATGTATTGAAAATATGTGGTTAAAGTAACTGTGAACACAGTGTTCAGCAAGGTTCAGTAGCAGTTAATGGTATTAGCAGTCAGATTTCCCTATGTGAATTTTTTAAATCATTGAAGATTTTCGATTGAAGTTATGAAAGTTAAGTATTTATATAACTTCTGATTGATAACTGACAGATGCCAATTTGGGACCATGTGTAAAATATACAAAAGCTCATGTACTATGGCAGTTTTTTACTGCAAGAGACTACAGCAGTTCTCACCTTCCGCTAGACCCATTCCCACTGACACCATTGGTTTGTTTTCCAGCAATGGCGAGCCGGCAGGTGGATATAGCGACTCAGGGCTGGTTCATTGGTCTGATGTGTGCTGTCGCTCTCCTTATCTTAATTTTGCTGATTGTTTGCTTCATCAGAAGAAACAAAGGTGGTAAATACCCAGGTAAGAAAGAAAGAGTGAAATTGCCTTATAATTAATGCTGCATAATTTTCCACCAAAATAAAAACAAATCAAGAGGGTATTCATGGAGATTGCAATAAGTGTATCTTCCAGGAGCCCTAAGTGTGGACTTCCTGTTCAGACAGTTTTTGATCCCTTTTATATAATGGAAACCTAAATGTTGCCAAGGATCAGAGGATACTTTGGAGTGTAAATTAATCTGTCCTCTGAAGATACTAGTGACTCTGCTTCCTTAGGCTCCACATAAGTCACAGGTGCTGAAATAGCACCTAAAACCAACAGGCAGAGGGGGAAGGTACAGGAAGTCTCCCAGAGGAAGTGATGCACGAACTGGTTCTTGACATCAGGATGTATATAACGTTGCTTTCCCTGTATGGTTAATATTGTGTTCAATTTAGTGAATCCAGTGAATTTACATTTTCTTTATCTGACCATTTCCCCTTCAGTGGCAGTGGAGAAAATCTGCAAAAGAATAGATTTGCAAAAAGAATTGGTGAGCATGAATATAGTTAGTAAGTAGATTGGTAAAACATCTTAGAAATGTAAAACTTACTTTTTTCTCAGATGAGTAAGGGACTTGTGCCAAAAGTCTTACAGGAAGTCAACTTTGTATGTTAACAAATGTTCATGCGACTGTGTTGCCTCAAAGAGACCAAAGCATCAAAATATATGCATGGCCACATACTATGCCTGGTTGTACAACATCTACTGTGTACAGCATTATTTTCCAATACTGTATATCTCAGAGTGCACTCTTAAAACTTTGAGTAAGGAAACACAGGATCAATAGATAATGATGTCATCTTGGAATTTTTTAGTTAAAGAAAAGGAAGATGCTCATGCGGATCCTGAAATCCAGCCTATGAAGGAAGACGACGGTACTTTTGGAGAATACAGGTGAGCCCCTTCTTCTCAGTCACCCTTCGTCTTCCCTGCCCTGCACAAACACTGCACTCAGTCTCCGTCAAATGGGATTCAGCCAGGAACGCGCTTTGCCTGGCATTTCATATTTTCAAGTATTAGTTTAGAAACACTTCATGTCTAAATGTTCACATATCCCTCACAGTTAAAATAATCTCGCTCTTCATTAAAAAAAATCAATTTCCATTTTATCAGTAGGTTTAGAGAGGAAATGTCTTCCACCCTGTCCTATTTCCCAGAGGAATATTTCCCTTGCTGTAAATGATCAATACAGAAAAGCTGGCGTGTTACAGTAAGAGTTTAAACAACAATAAAGGCCCTACAAACCTGCTTTGTAAAGCAAACTACCCCTGTCATTCTCTGAGCAGTGCTTTTGTAAAATTGATGTTACTCTTTTTTCACCTTGGATTTGAAGCTTGTTTTTCTCAAACCAATACCTACACCCCCTCCCATTAATCATGAAATGATGACTAGGCTGTTTTAGAAGCTGTTAACTATTAAGGAATATCACAGCTCTGGAGGCAGTGTATTAACTCAGAGTTTTGCTAAAATCGTCTTGGCTTGGCTCCATCATTAAGGATAAATTGAATATAACCTATGTGCTAAACAGTTTTTTTTTTAAGGAAGAAACTCTTTAAACAAAGATATTCTTACCTAGGGGGTATAGGTCTTTTTAAAGAGAAATAAATGATTATTTTAGATATGTTTAAAACAGAAACAAAAAATACATTTATTCATTTAGAAGATTGGGGTTTTGGTGTTCCAAGAGAATACTTTTGTTAACCAAATACCTTTATATTTTGTCCTTTATTTCTATAAGCCTCTTGATTATATAAAATATAATTCTTTAAATATGCACTGAGCCAGTATTGAGGCTTTTTTTTTTTGGCCAGAAGAAAGGGCTTTTAGGTGAAATAAAATATTTCACTATTGTGATTGCCAGATGACATGTATAGAAGATATGTGTGTTAATTGTTACCTGTCTCTAGAGGTCATTTTTGATATTTCCATGTCAGTATCATGAGAGGCAAAATAATGCCAAGGATAAGAAATGTGAGAACTGGTTGAGAAAAACCATATATTTTTTACAAACCTGGATTAACACCAGTTCCTATGCAGATACAAAGGTTTTGCCTGTGTATCTTGGCACCTCAGCATTTATATTCTGATTTCTCTTTTTCAACAGAGGTGACTGATTGATTTCTCAAACTTTTCAGAATTCTGTATGTTATGATACAGAAGAATGTCTAGTGAGCTTTGTCTGGATGTCAGATGTTGACTTGGAGACTGACAGGTTACGGATACCTCATTTGGCACCCCCACCAGTTCACCCACATGGTTTCATAATGCACTAAAGCAGCCCACAGGTGGCCGCAGCCTAGGGTAGCCGTGGCTTGCACTGGATAAGTTGAAATCTTTGCTGATTTTATTCACTTTTCTACACGTTTCTCCTATAAAGCAGGGGAGCCAAGAATTACTAAAAAACTTCTTATTTTTAGTGTTCCTGTGGCTAGAGTTCTACACAGGATATGCGCGCCATTTCCTTCTTTATTGTGATAAAGCTTAATCTTTAATACAGCCTTAAAAATTATGTATTTGCATGAATTGAAAGCAAACCATCGCACTCCATACCTTCTTCCCATGGTAATGGATTTCTGCTCTACATTCTCATGCCCAGATGAATCTGGCAATGTACTGCTCACTCCATGGGTTTCAAATGTCAACTTGCTATTATAATGATATGAAATCGTGATCTGATGTAATGTGACTTTCTCAGGGTAACTCTGCTGCTACACCACTTCAAAAACTTGAGTGAAGTCGAGGTTGAATATGAACTCATTTGGAATCAAGAGACTTAGTTTTACTGTCAGCTCAGCCATTACCCTTGATACTTTTAAATATGGCATTTAATCTAAGTCTCAGTTTTTTTCATCTATAAAGTGATGGGGTTGGCCAAGTATTAGATGATCTCTGAAGGTTTCTAGTTCACTGGTTTCTGTGCTCCTTTACAAACCATCTGCTAATAAGCTTCAATGTGATTTGGGGTTTCGGAGCAGCACATAGCAAGTATTTAGTTCCTGGCCTCATTATCACTGTGTTTACATTTATTTGGTCATATCTATTTGTCTTGGTGCTAATTCATATGTGTTATGTTTGTCGAGTGTTTTCAGATGGCTGTGTTTAGCTTATGCCTTGGGTTTCTCGGAAGAGAAAGACTTTTTTCCTTGGACCTATTAAGTACAAGCAAGAAAGTAAAAACACTTGTCACACATGTAATTCCATTGATCTGGGAGTTACCAAGGGAAATAACGTTCTGACCGGTGTCTTAAACTTGAAACGTAACTCAGTGATTTTTTTTTTTCACTGATGTTGGAAGTTCATAAGGACAATCCCACAAATGAAATCAGTTCCCAGAACACCCAGTCACCCTTTGCTACAGATGTGGCCTCATCTTGTGACTTCCTGACACGACCTCAGAATTTTTTCCGTTTGGTTTCTTTTCTACTTAAAAAAAAACAAAAACCTTTTAGTTATTTTAGTTGTCACAATTAATGAAAATGGTTCCAGCTCTTAATTACAGAATATTTTTTAACAAATAGATTTAAATGTCATTCTCCTCCTTAAATCCCAAGAGTCCCTTTTCTGCTTTGCACTTTCTGGAAGTTTTGAGCTCTGCATTATTTATTAATTCTTATTCATTTGCATTCTGAAAATAAATAAATATGCTGATCACACACACACACAAAATTAGGACTATTGCCTAAATGTACATGAATTCTGCTTATGATTTGCTCTTTCTCCAGTTTGAGGATGAAACCGTTCCTCCATGGTTGGCTCTGAGCCAGAGGGTATTTTATAGTGCAGAGAGGGACGGAACTTAAGTGGCCAAATTTGATGTGTTTTTTGTATGCTGTAACCTATACCCTCACTCCAACACCCACCCCAAGCAGTTAACCCTCTGGTGGAAGCCTGCAGCTTTGTTTGTTTGTTTGTTTGTTTCTTTAATTATACAGACAGTAGGATCTTCATCCTTACTAGCATATAGAAAAATCAGAGAAACAATGCAACCAACCGTGTAAGTATTTTTTTTTATTCTTTAGCTCCATTCCTTTAAAAACCAGAATGAACCAAGGTCATAAGCTGTATGATTGTGGTCCTGGAACTCATAGCATAAATGGAGGCTGTTGTCATGGATATCTTGTCACTCACTCAGGTGAACACAACCCTGTCACAAGCCTGGTAACCCATGCTCGTGAGGTTTGGATGGTGTAAAGATGTGTGCATTTGTTACATACTTTAGATTTATTCTGCTCACAGTCATAAACTGCTATATGAGCAATATAAATAATGATGCACTTTTAAAGGGAGTGTTTGGGTCATGAACATCAATAAAACTGTAGCTTGGTTTGGCCGTGGTAGGTGGTGACCGTGGGAAAGTCAGACCCAGTCATCACAGATGTTGCTGCATCTTACTCAGCAGGCATTTAGTGGATCCTGTGTGCACAACCTTGAATGAAATGCTATTGGAAAAAAAAAAAACACCTGAACTCCCTAAAATTCATTCTTAGGGTAAAAAAAAGGAAAGAATGTGTCCCGTTCTTTGACATCATAAAAGTGATTAAGAAGAAATGAAAAAAATGTTAATGTAGGAGTTCTGAAGAATTTCTAAAATGCCTGCTCTCTTTTTTATTGTTATTTCACAGTGAATTCCTTCAACCAGTATTGATTGAGTGCCTACTATATGTGAGGCTGTGAGGATATTAAAACCAATAGAATGTTATCTCACTAGTTTATAGTCTAGTGAGGAATGCAGGGAAGGGAACAATCTGAGCACAGTGTGAAGAGTGCTTTGAAAGGGCAGGCATATAACTCAGGTGCCAAGGGAGCAGGGGCAGGAACAAAGCCAAGTGCATGGCCTTGAAGGAGATGGTATAGAAATCTTCCCAGAGGAGGTAATGCAGGAGCTGAGTTTTGAACATTCCTTTCCACCACACAACTTATATCCATGAATAATCATGGATGTCAGTGTCAAAAATATATTTCATGGCTACATATACTCTTTTATGATGATTTTATGACTTATTTTGAAATGTGTTCAATCGTTGACATTCTAGGCTAACAGTTAACATCTGACACTTCCTGTCCTTCAAAGTTCTCACCAGAATGTGGATGAATTTTTTTTAAGCCTTGAATACTATGTAGCTAAATAAGGGTGTGACTTTTAAATCATCTTCTGTCACTTCTAAATTCCTCTCGTGTGGGAAACCACCCTTTCTCACTTGAAGTTGACCAAAGAGCTTCTCTTGGCACAATGTTCAAAACGGTCTACTTACCCTTTCATTATAAAATCCATCTTTGAGTTGAAAACAAGCAAGTACAGTGCTTCAACCCAGCCTTGTAACCGCTCATCACATCTGGAAATTTCTAAGCGTGTGTGTTACACAAGGTGTTTCTTAGAAAACCGTCTCTGTGAGGCAGGGGTCTGGAGTGGAGATAAGAGGTGTGATGGCGGATGGAAGGACACCAGTCACCTACCAGGCTCTGTGCTGGGGCCACATATCATTTTTTCTCATTTAGCCAGATTCTAATTCCTGAAGTCGGACATTGTATCACACCACTTTTTTAAAAAGTCTTTCGAAGCTCTTGAGCTGCCTTTGAACAGCTTTTCTTCGAAAGACTCTTGGTCGGGAGAGCACCCTCATCCTTACTTCTCTTCTTTCATGCACAGCCTGTGTTGCTGTAGGTTCTCTCTCCTCCACAGTGGCCACTGAGCTGGAAGGGATGTTTCTCGGGAGCCGCTTCTTGGCTGGCCGTCATTCATAACTCTCAGGATTGTGTATGTAAAAATCCAAATGAATCTGCAGGAAAATATTAGAATCCGTAAGAGTTCAGTAATGTCACTTGACACAAAATTAGCAGAAAAGTCAATTATATTTCTTTGTACCAGCAAACAGTTGAAAGGGGGGATTTTTAAG